AACTTGATCAGTTAGATTGGTTGGACGAGGCTCAACAAAATATGTAATTTTGTCTGCTGCCACTAGACGGGGTGAGAGATTCTGGGGTGGGGGGGGTAGTCAAACGCCTGCCCATAATAACCACCAGACATGACTCATTCAGCGTGGAATACCACAGCAGCCACAGACAGGTCTCTGGCAGACAAGCAGCAGAAATCTGACCCTGCAGCACGGTTTGTGAATGGGGCAAGAATGAGCAAAACCAGGGTACATTTAATAGATCTCCAATAAGTTTCAAAGATTTAAGAGTTTTAAAGATTCATCAAGTGTTTGGTTTGGCTTGTTTATGAAAGTCAAGTGTATAAATCGCTAAAGATATTACATTAAAGAATTCCATCTCTTTTTTCTCTCTGTTTCTTTTTATTTCTTTTTATTTAATCCCCATTGGTTTGATGATTCTCTTGGCTTATATCCTGCTCATCAAGTCATCATGCTGAGCTCCTAAAAGACAGCACAGGAACAACATATCACCTTGTCAGATATGATTGTAGCTCTGATCATCGTCGTGCTTGCCCAGACTTCTCCCGTGGAGAGCACCACTCAATTTGAAGACTAACACATGTTGGACAGTCCAATCATTATTTGCTTTTGTGGAGTCCGTCCAAGGCTCGGGAGCCAAAAGTCTAATCTGTGGGCATAGAGGAATAACACAGAAATAACATATTGTACAACTTAAAGTATGGCAGGGGAGCAAACTGTGAGCGGTCACATTACATGAAAACAGCAGGCAGGAAGTGTTTTGCAACAGCGGAAAATCTTCAGGTCCAGTCTGACCACCAGACGGTCACACTTCATCTGGCCCTGAGGCTGCGGTCAGTGGACGGATACCTTCCCTACCGTTAGGGTTGGATACGCTGTCATACATGTGTCTATTGCTCCCTCTCACACTTTTTTCCATTTCTTTTCCCTCTACTTTTACGAACCCATCACACATTTTAAAACATTTCCCCCTCTTTTTTAGTACTTTCTTCCTACTTCCGCCGTTTCATATACAGTCTTTCTCCGCTTTCTTTCCAACCTTACCTCATCGTGTTTTTGTCCCCCCCACCTTCTCCTACCTTCCCCTTTAAACCTTCTCCTTCCTCCCTCTCTCACCCTCTTTCTCTTTCTGTTTGTGGTCAGTCACACTTAATCTAGCTCCATCCATCTGTTTCTCTTCATTCATTTAGTCCGGTCTGCTTTCGATTAAGATTACATCAGGCTTTGACCTATTAGTGTGCCGTGATCCTTTTGAAGTCATTCTGTGGTTACAGGTTAAGCTCAAAGCCCACCACTCTTCTTACTCAACATAATACACACAGTATTTGGAGGGGGAAGGTTCTTAAAACTTCTCAGCCAGAGACCAAAATGACTCTTTTTTTTCTCAGGGATCCAGGATCATTAAATCATACAAACTTTTCCTGTCATGTGGAGACCCACTAGAGGAGGGCCTGCGACCCATTTTGGTTCCCAACCCATAATCCAACCTAGCAATCTGTGAACTGGAATATAATGTGCATTGAACTATATATCCTTAGGATTTTGATTACATTTCGAAAGGTTACTTTCCTAACCAGGGAGTGTTTCCTATTAGGGTTGCTGTTTAAAGTCCAGCTCAAATTCTACATTTAACATAACGCAGACCCCATTAAACTAAATAGTATTTTTTTAGACAGCGGCCTGATTGCCTAATGGTTAAAAGCATAATGTACCACTTTATTGGAATATCCACTGTTTTTTTTTCCAGCGGAGAACCTGTGGTCCACGTCATACCCCCCCTCTCTTGTCTTTTGATTGCCCAACGAACAAAGCAGAAAATGCCAGAACACAACCTTAAAGTGGTAGTTTGGGAGTTCAGAAGTGAAAAATGGCAATTATTAAGGAAGAAATCAGTTCAGGCTAAGGTTGGTTGTTTTTGATGGTGCTTACTTAGCTTATATTTATCTGCACACAAGAAGTGTTGAGCAAATACTTTACATACCTATTTTACTATCTATTATTGGGTTTAATCATGCTTCTGAAATGCATTGTGTTGCAACATTATGCATCTAAGAGATCTACCTGCCTTCTGTTTTTATTTCAGTTGGTGTTGCTGATATTGGGGTTGGTAAATCATGAGATTAAATCTTGTATCTTTTATGAGGAGGAAGGTTAGTCGCTAATAATGGGGGATTCTAAATAAGGAACATTTAAGTAGATGTCGGTCAGAATGCTCATGGTTTGTAGAAACAGTCAGACTTCCAGCACAGGAGAAAATAATGTACTCGTGTGGATGGGGAGGTCAGAAAAACGTATATATTTGCCAAAATAATAGCCTAAAGAAAGGCCCAATAAACTCAATATCAGTTTAAATGTACACAACATTTCAAATATTTTCACTACTTTACCTTGCTGTTGGGAAGCCCATTGTGTTGAAAAAGCTGGTATCTATGCTCTGTCTTGACCAAGCCACCAGTGCTGCTCCGTTTCCCCCCGACATGGGGCGTGCCAACCACCATCCGCTGTAGGTAATACACTGACCATTTATAAGCACCTCATACTGTACAACCTACACTTTAAACACTCCAAACTAGAGGCTTTAAAAGATTATTTTGAAGGACTTAATAACTAATTAAAAAAAGATGGTGTTCTTATTTATCTTTATGTAACATATAAAGAGGATATAGGCCTTCATCTCTGAAACCTTAAAGTTAACCCTCATCCCTTCTCTGACTTATAGATGCCTATGAACAGAGATTGACTGAGAAGTTAAACTGTACATCATCATTACTCCTGGGTCAGAGCTGGGGTAAGTAGCCAATTGGCCGAGTCGGGATGCTAAACTGACATCTATTGGCCAAGATGTGGCAGGGTAGGATGTTAAAGTCATTTAGACTCATCAGGCTAAGTGGACACAGTTGACTGAGAGGTCTCAAACTTCCTCACGTCTGTTTGTGGGTAGCTAGCTTTCCGTGCCAACGATTCTCAATTAGAGCAGTAGATGAGAGGACATCTGGGCTGCTGGGTCTATGTCTGCTTCGCTTATGTATGTTAATGTACGCCAACAGGCCTGAACTCGTTTTAGAAATCAACCAAACAAGTTCGTCTTTTAACAATCAGTCAATCATGACGGTCAGAGTTTGCTCAAACATTGTGACAGTGTCAGAGTAGAGTAATTCACGTCCCTTACAGTGCAATATATTTTACTGCATGTTCAGTACACACAATGAGTCAAATACATGTCATGAAATCAGTAAAAAAAAACACTGCCTGTCTTTGCAGTTCCCTTACATTTCAGTGATTTTAAGCTCATAGTTTTGTTTTTTACAGCGTGCAACTTTACTGTTTGATTCACTCTCACGGCTCTCATCAGTGCCTTTTTTAAGGTACAGTAGGAAACAACACAAAGTAGAAAAACTATTCACAGTGTGTATGCTCGTGTTTGACCAACCAAAGCTGCTACAAACGTACGCTTGGCTTGTTTCTCTGATAAAGACCAATATGGCGGATGACCAAAATCATTGACCTGCTAAAAACAACCAAGATCTAAAAGGTATATTATAAAACTGTGGCTTTAAACTGTGGAATATTTTACGGAATAACTGAGGAATAGTATTATTAATAGTTATAGTTGAGAGTAATTCTTGCAAAGACTTCGAGAGATTAGAACAGTTACTTCCTGAAAACTTCTCGAAGTCCAGAAACAATCTGTTGATAGAGGAATTCTGTTAAAAGAGACAATTGTGAAAGTAACATGATCGCAAGGATTGTCACATTTTCTAAATAGCACAACATAGGGAACCAGTGTCATCACATCATTGACCTTTAAAGACTGTTTTGGAAGGAGAAGTGGAAAAAATGGGAATAGAAACAGTGGAAAGGTAGTTGAAAGTATTATTAACCCTTAGATGCATAAGTGGGTCTTTTTTGATCCGGTGAGGTGGTTTTCTTGAAGTATCTTTGTAATTACATTTTTTTTCATCATTTCATATTCCAGCTATTCCTCAAAAAACATGTTTTGGATATCATGCCATTCACATTTTAAATTTACATTTTAAGAAATTGTAGTTTTTGTATTACTACCCCAAGCTTCCATAAGTGGGTCAAAAATGACCCGCATGCATTTTCTATGGAAAACTATGGGAACCTTTGATTCTCATCACCTGTTGCTGTCAGGACTACATTCACTGTAGACCACACAGACTACATCACAACAGTGACACCTCTCAGGAAGATTATTTTACACAGCAAGATCTGATACCTATCTGTATAATAATAATACATTATATTTGTATAGGGCTTTTCAAGGACTCAAAATCGCTTTACAATATAAGGGAAGGTTAGGGTGGGGGTCATAGGACTATCAAAGTGATCAACCGGCACGGATTGATGGGGGGTGGGCTATGAGTAGACAATAGGAGAAGAGATGAGTTTTGAAAAGGGACTGGAATAGTGTGAGGGTCTCAGAATAGCGGAGATCTTTGCATCAATTATGTTGAAAACGGTTTTTTTTAAATGTAAAAAAAAAAAAAAATTCAAAATAGTGGAAAATTAAATATAAAATATTTCTAGTGATTTTTCTTAACCAAAATTACAAAAATGGCATAAAAACACATTATTCTAATACGGGTCATTTTTGACCCACTTATGGAAGAGTGTAGGGTCCAGTCACTCGTGCATCTAAGGGTTAAAAGGCATCTGAAGTGACTTCCTCTTCCTTTTCTTGTCCCTTCCACTCCCCCTCCCATCTGCTGCCACCTGACTGGCATCACAATGCAACCTCCCTTTAAAAACTCACCTCCATCACCCATCGAGTCGCATTCATCCCTCTAACCCTGTTCTTCCTGAGTAACTTTGGCGAATGAAGATACTTTAAGGGGTGAGTGCTTTGTATTTAACCAGCTGTATTGTGTCTGTTTTTTCCTGATAAAGGTTTTGTTCACCTTTGTGTCGCTCTATGCTTCTCCTTCTCCGGTGACATTACAGAGCTCGTGTCAGCGGAGATGTTGGCAGGTGCGTTAGTTCTGGGCACCATCCTTACAGCTTTGCCAGGTAAGAGAAAACACAATAAAACATCAGAAATTATGACTTTGTTTCATTGTGAGGTGTAAAAACATAACGTGGAATGGTTTTAAAGAGAATATTCTTACAACTTCAGGGTTTAATATGAACTGGAAGCTCCTTAACTGTCAGATATTTATATTTTATTCCAGAAATATCATTAATGGGTCACACATGCTTTAAAACAACAGTTGAACAATAAATGAGTGATTTATAGGATCCATTATAGGCTCCTGCAGCCAGGTGCCCTTGCCTTTACGCTCCAGTTATTTATAAGTATTGATTGCCTTTTGTGCAAGGTAGTCAGCCAGGCAGGCAGTTAGCAGCACAGGATGACACCATGGCTGCACATCAAGGCTCATTCTCTCTGCTTCAATTGTATTAGTCACGCTTGAAGCTGTGGTTTGACAAGTCTTTCTCTGAGGCAGTTCAAATGTACACCTCCTTTTAGTGTTCAAGTATGTATTCCCTAAACCTTAGCTTATTTTATATGGCAAGCTGTTTTTGTCAAAGTGACAAAATGAGCCTGTAGATGCTTCATTTTCTTTGGATCCCTGAACTCGTCCAACATAAAAACATTAAGAAAATGGTGAAAAAAGTGTAGAGACTCCATCTGTTAGCCTGTAGTGCTTTGTTTAAGTGTAAAGTGTTGCAGACTGTGTGTGAGTTTTTGTTTGCTTCTTTTTAACTGTTCATGTTTGTATGTTCTTGTAGCATTTGTGTTTCATGCTGTTTATGATTTAGCATGTTTGTGCTGCAGGTATCCAGAGCAGGTGGAGCGTGTCATTTTCCCGGAGGGAGATCTGTGTGTGGGCGGGAACAACTGTCACTCTGCCCTGTCGCTATGACTACCCATCAGGTATCATATCCATTATTTTTCATTTAGCTATTTAAAATATCTATAACTATTAGGCCTATATTAAGCCTCGAAACAATCTAGAGTTACAACGTTTTACTTTTTTTTTTGGTGGTTTTCTTTAACTTCACAGGTCACAACGTGAAGCGGGTCATGTGGTTCCGTGTGTCTGCAGAGGGTCGGAGGGAGTTCACTTACCACACTGACCCGAACGAGATCAGTCTGTCGTACCGCGGACGCACACGGTAGGAGAACGAATATAGGCATGTTTGAAAGCTGATATGCTGTAAATGTGAATTAATAAATAAACGTTTTACACCACGATGGTGGGCTCCAGGTACATCGGGGGCAGCTACTCCAGTTGCTCAGTGCAGATTCGGGTGGTGAAGCTGAGTGATGCAGGCCAGTACCACTTCAGGTTTGAGACAGACCAACCACAGGGGAGATGGACCTCCCCGAACACCATCACCCTCCATGTGACAGGTAGGTTCAGGCAAAAGAGAAGCTGCCTTTGGTCAATGTTTACAGTTTGAGATATTTTGCCTACATACCTTGTCTTCTATTAGACTAGTAGAAAGAAAACATCCACAGATACACATTAAGGTATATTTTTGCTACAGTGTAAATATGTATCTGGTAATCGACGGAATGTTTTATCTTTTTCCTCCCACTGATACAGTGGGGTGTTTTCATATGTCGTTATTGGCCGGATTTAGACTACATTTGTATTCCTGATTTTATAATTGTTGCAAAACTAGTAAGTAATCAGCTGGAGAATTTTCATGCTGATATCTAAGTGTAAAAGCTGTTATCTATATTCACGCGTTTTGTCCCCTCTTGACCATCCTGCTCTGTGCAGCAGACAGTGGGTGTTTCTCAATGTCGAGGAAGGCTGCTCCAGAGCCACTATTTCAAGGATACTACGTCATCGAGTGCCACCGAAGGACTGTTCCAATGTCCAGGATACTTGGAATTCTACCGAGGCCGGCGTTCTTCGTTGCGGGATATTTCGAGGCTGCACATGTGTAGACTCCGCGGTCTTAAAATCCCCACAATGCTTTGCGCACGGACCAATTTCCAAATCTTTGGCGGAAATCACGCTCCATTTAAGGCGCACACCTGCACACCTGTTAGCCTGTTCCACAATTCATCGTTTTCCGAGGCTAGGAAGGATTCTTGCCTCGCTTCTGAAGCAACTGACTCTGAAGTACATGTGCTACCAAGCAAGCCTCCTCGACATTAAGAAACACCCAGTGTGCTTGTGAGTGTGTGACTGTCTGTGTGTGTTTCAGACCTGCAGGTCCAGGTGCATCCAGCCAGGCCCAGGAACATGTTTGGCCTTGCAGAGACTGTGTTTGTAGGCTGCCAGGCGACAGGATGTGCTGCTCCAGGAAGGAGCCTAGCACTGTACAGGTGTGTGATTGTTCATATGAGTGTATTATTGGTCACTTAGACGGAGAGTCATACATGTTGTCAATATTTAACACTGTAGATGTGATATGATGCTCTGAACACAGGAACGGACTGAACCAGGGCTCCTATGAGAAATGGATGACCATCAACCGCTTTGACCAGCAGCATGTTGGAGCGTACACCTGTCGACCAATCCCGCCACAGAACGTGCAGTCCCCGCCCCTCACGCTGGCTCTTGGATGTGAGTAATCTCTTACAAAGCAAAACGCACAGTTTTCACAAAACCTGCTCATATCTAAAAATGCTTTATGTGGTGTATCTCCAACCAGATGGAGACACATTTTGGGGTTAATCACAGAAACACAGAATACATAACTTTTATGGACTGTACACACCTGCTATTGGCCCTGATAAGTTTTATATTAATGAAATGTATTTAATATATTGTAAACTGCACTAGCATTTTCCCTATTTGTCCTTGTTGACTTCATTCTATCTCAAATGTCCTTCCTTTTTCGTCTTCTTTTATTTTCCCCTGCAGACAATCCCCGCTACACCTCCATAGCAGTCTTCCCAGTAGGGGGTCTGTCGGAGGGGGAGTCTGTCACTCTCACCTGCAGTAGTGACGCAGCTCCACCTGTGGAGAGCTTTGCATGGTTCAAAGGTACAGGACAACATGCAATGCTAAAAAACATGCATGACCTTCGTGGGAAAAAATGGTATATGATTTAGTGTTTGGATTAATCTTGTAATCTGTGTCTGTATCCGCTCCTCAGACATGGAGAGTGGCAGCATCCCGGACAGTTTTCGGCCTCAGCTCTGTCTGTCCCAGGTCAGATACACCGATAGAGGAGAGTACTTCTGTGTAGCACGCAACTCCCTGGGAACAGACCGCTCCAACCCTCTTCTACTCAACGTCACTTGTAAGTGTGTTGAGTGTTTGCTTTGTTATCATAGAGAAGGTGCCCTTGCCCTACTTCAAACTCATGCACACATCAGAATCCAAACTACATGCTGAAATCTGAATCACATTATGCAATAACCCTTTATCAACACATATTAGGTCTGTTTCTATCTTCAGTCCTGTTGTGTTAGTCTGTCAAAGGTTAGTCTGGGTTGAACTGATTAGGCAACAACTCTATTTTAAACTAGAAGGGAATCTTCTGTCACATGTAAGTGACACAAACTGAAACTGCAGGTTTTTCATACTTTTAGATAGATAGATCCGCTATTGGTAGCTGTTAAATGGTTTATTGGTGGTGTTGACCAAATGTCAAATAAAAACATGAACATGGTGGTAATGTTGCTTCTGTTTTCCTCTCTGCGTGTTAAGACTCTCCAAAGAACACGCGTGTGCTGGTGAGTCCTGCAGCAGATATCAGAGAGGGCTCCTTTGTGAACCTGAGCTGCGTCTGCCAAGCCTACCCTCCTGCCAGCAGGTAGGACCACCACTGAACTCCTTCAGGTTTATCCAAATAATACATGAGTCTGATGTTGTTTTTCTTATCATGATCCTTATTGACCCTCTTGCCTGTTTTCTTTCATCATTATCATCATTTCTGCTTTTGTCATCCTCAAATGTTCTCTTTTCTCCTTCTAATCTCCTTATATTTTTAATTCAGACTTGATCTTAACTTAACTCAACCTCACTATGAGAAAATCTCCACTGCAAGTCAAAGCCCTGCATTATGAATGTTACTGAAGTAGAAGTACACAAGTATAAGCAGCACAATGTATTTAAAAAATCAAAAGTACTCATTCGGCAGCCCAATGACCCTTGTCAGTGTCTCCATATCATCAGTTTTTATTTTTAAGTATGCATAACTGTGTAAGAAGCATTTGATAAAAAAGACCATCTTAACTATGTTTTATACTGTTATGTCATTTAAACTAAAACAATACATCTATGTAATATACAGTGGCGCTGCAAGACACTCTGGGGCCCCAGGCAGAAGAGACATGCCCCCCAACACATCCAGCACAAGCGCCACCGCTGTGCTATTACCATTTGCAACGTCATCACTGTTTCCATCATCATCTTCATTACCTTCTCTCCTGCAGGTATGCCTGGTATCGTATCCTAGGTGACCAGCTGCTGTCTAAAGGAAGCTTCCAGAACCTGACGTTCCCCTCAGTGCGTGCTCACCTCGCTGGTCAGTACTACTGCACGGCGTGGAACCACTTAGGACACCAGACCTCCCCCGTCGCTACGCTCTCTATACTCTGTGAGTACTGCCTGTGTTCACTATGGGTATTACTAATGTGTATCTCAGTTACAGTAACACAACTCTTAGTATTGGAAAAATAACTACGTAAGTACTATACTGTACTTTTACTTAACAGAGTATTTCTACACAGTAGTATTATTACTTTTATGTAGCTAAAAGATCTAAGTGCTACTGTTTCCTTCTTCTTTCCTTCCCTGAGTTTCTGTCGGTCTTACCAGCGCCTTCTTCTCAGTCTCTTTTAGCTCTTCTCTTTGCACAACATCATTTCAGACTACACCTCCCTTAACCCTCTGTACTCTCTCTCTGTTCCTCTCTGCAGACCCTCCTAAGAACACTTCAGTTCTGGCTCGTCCATCCGGTGTGGTGGACGCCGGCCGACCTTTGACCCTGACCTGCAGCAGCCAGGCCAACCCAGCAGTGGACAACTTCACGTGGCACCGCTTAGCTCTGGACGGGGGCCCTGTACAATGTTAGCATCGTAAAAATGTGGTTCCACTCAAGGTTAACATTACAAAATCATCAATACCTAACTGAACGTTTGTAGTGGGTAAGGCGTCGTGCTCTGTGTGCCTCGGTCTGTTTGTCCCCCTCCACACCCTCTGACATAGCCTTCTGTTCCCCGGCAGCCTGGGGCAGCAAGCCCGGTCCCGTCTTCTCCTTCTCAGAGGTCGGCCCCAGAGAGAGCGGTCAGTACTACTGCGAGGCCAGGAATCGGATCGGAGCCCACAGCTCTCCTGTCCTCACTGTGCGGGTCAGAGGTACGTCATGATGGACACTTTATCCTCAGCTCATCTCATCATGGTCTGAGTTGGATACTGCTGGATTTCAAAGTCCAGGACAAATGGGAAAAATATGTGTAGATATTATCCGTTTATTTTTAAATTAACACAATTGATATGAAAGCTATGTTAGGAATGACATAATCAACCTAAGAGCTCTCAAAAGACTGGCACTAGGACTTCACCGTCAGCAGATAAACCCTTTTAAACTGTGCAATTCAGCATGAGTATCTTATTATTAATTCACTATTGCATATATTTTAATATGCATGTTTTACATTGTGAAATGTGCACATTTGATTTGTAAAGCACCTTTCATTACTAAAAGCAATCCCAAAGTGCTACAAGGGGCAAATAATACATACTTAAAAACACAAGTTTAATAAAAGGCTACATTTTTACTTTAAATTTGTATTTTAGCACCTTGGGATTGCTTTTAGCAATGAAAGGTGCCTTATAAATAAAATGTATTATTATTATTATTATTTTTATTTAATCTTTTTATTGCAACATCTTACTTACATTTTGCAGGTTTATATAAGAATGTTTTATTCTTAATTGTTTTACTATATTTATTTAATTCTTAAATGCAGCAACTGCCCCAAAACCCAATTCTCCACCGGATATACAGTATAAAGTATTCTGATTCTGAAGGCATGTCATTTTATAATATGTTGCAACTGCTCCATTCAGAGTGGCTGCTTCAACACTATCCTCCTCTATATTCAATGAACAGGCTACCCTAGTTCGGAGGAGAAAAGTGCTTACAGTGTGTTTCAATTGTTGGGTTGGTTATCATACATCATCCTGCATAATAACAACCATGTGGGTACAGTAGTGTGTTGCTTCGGAGCGATGTGCCTTTAGAACAATAGCCTTTTTTGTTTTTTTATTTGGGACAATGAGTCTGCCCTATAAATGTGCTTTTTACATTTTTGGAACTACTGGGTTTTTAGAATAATTGACCCTCTGAACAATGGCACGGCACCAAAGGAATTGCTTTTGGTTTTTGATATAAACTCAATGATATCATAGCAACAGTTGAAACCGAAATATGTTACAGTGGATTTCTTATTTTGAGCTGTGAAGGTGTCAGAGTCACATTCACACTGCCTGGAGGCCTTTAGCAGTTCATCTGTTCATCCGCTGAAAACGTTTCCCTGTGTTAAGTGTAGTTGTACTGTCCCTGTGTATGCTATTGTCACATTCAAAATTGAAAGGGGGGAGATGAAGTGTCACTGACAAGCTAAGTGAAACACCCCCGCCCCATCTTTACATCTGTGTGTCTGACTATCAGCTGTATTACTCTGAGGGACGTTGGGATGGGTTCCTGTGTGTTTGACATGATGAGTGATGAATCCTCCCTGTCATTATCGCAGCATGAGGTCCGGGCTCTGGTTGTATACGGTCTCATGGTTTCTGACTGCTTTGCTATGAGTCATAGTGAGTCATGTAAAGCCCTCTCGCTACGAGGGGAGAGGAAAAGGGGGTGATGAGGTGTTGTGGAAAACAACTATTTGAGTCTAGACGAAGGCAGAAGAAGTGGACTGAGGTTTGGAAATCAGAACTGGAAACACAAGTCTAGACGTCCTGCAGGATGATGCACGGCCCACTTTCTCTGCTTCTATTTCTGTATCCATCGCATTTCTATTTTTAATAATCTAACTTGCCCTCTTTTCTTCCTGTTTCCTAGTCATGTAGATAACCTCTGTTGTCCTCCCACTGACAGGTCGTCTTAAGGTCATCGCCCTGGCGTCAGCAGTAGGGGTGTCTGCTGGACTCATCACTCTCACTGTGGCCATTATGATCAGGTGACAGGAAGTACACTGATGTTTACTTAACGGCTATTTCTGTATTCCTCCACACGACACAAAGAAAAACACCAGTTTCCTGCTTTAATAGAGACACAACTTGGCGTTGCTTTGATAATATTGTCCCCTTCTTCACAGTAAGAACATGCACAGGGTGGACATGGAGTCAGGAGAAGTAGCAAACAAGGTACAGTCCTTATTATAACTTTAATAATGTAATAATAATGATGCCTAATTTTTTGATTTTCTTTAAACAATTTAAAAAACAGGCTTTATTTATCTGATAACTCTCTGTTAAAAGCTATTGATTAAAAAACACCCATTAATGTTTTCCTTTTCTGTGTGTGTGACCCCAGCGTCCCTCAGTGACAGCCGACACCATGTTCTTTGAGTCAGCCCAGCAGACATTTCCAGTGAGAAAGGGCAAGATGTCCGACATACCGGTACACAACTCATGACAATTAAGCGTTGGATAATTTTTTTTAAAGCATGCAAAAATATATCAAATGATCTGATTTTTGACACGTGTGTGTGTGTAGGAGGAGTCAGAGGACTTGAGTGACAGCCATCCCGCTATCGTCCCTCTGAAAGATGCTCCACCAATCACAGAAGTTAAAAGCCCCGCCCTTAACTACATCACTGTCCACTACTCCAAGTTGTCCAGGTAACCACCGTCCTCTTGACCTCTGAACTACATCTCTCTCTCTCTCTCTCTCTCTCTCTCTCTCTCTCTCTCTCTCTCTCTTAGCTCTCTCTCTGGCCTCTCTCTCTCTCTATCTCTCTCCCTCTCTCTATCCTCTATCTCTCTCTCTGCGCTCTAGATCTAGAGATCTCTCTCTCTCTCTCTCTCTCTCTCTCTCTCTCTCTCTCTCTCTCTCTCTGTTTCCCTCCGTCTTATTCCTTTTTTTATTCACACCATGTGTCTGAGTTGTTGGCCACAGCAGCAATCTACTGTTTCATGTTTGGCATTATATTTTACAACCACATCGGTTTGTTCTTTATCTTCATGTCATCACATGCTCTCTCTAAACCCTTTGTCTTTTCCTCCGTCTTCACTCCCTTTCGTCTCCGATATCCAACACCTTCCTCACGTTTATGAGAGGGACAATACATTTCTCATCCCGGGTTTCAGACATTCGAAAACATTTGAATGGTTCTGGAGCTGCTTTTATGATCTGATCTGAGTCAGATGTACAGAGGAGCTCATATGGTTCTGCTGTTTCTTCAGCGTGGACCAGGTGCAGATCCACAACCTGCCACTGGGGGGTGAGAGGAAGCCCAAGGACTCCCCCAGCGTTGTTTACACTTTACTGCAGCAGCCTCTCCGCTGACTGGGAGCAACAGAGAGGAAAATCAGGTATAACACTATACAACTCTCTGTTAAGTTACCATATGGATACACTTTTTCCAATTTAGTATGTATTTTTGTACTTAAATGGTCCACATATGTTTACAGATCATGTATATTCATGGGAATGTGTAAAATATGATAAAATAGACCTTTAATAATCCCAGTGGGAAATCCAGGAGTTAAAAGAAGCAACTGGGTGAGATTGAACAAAAAAAAAAGGTAAACAAAAAGAATACTAAAATTCTAAATAAAATGATATTGTAACAGTTAAAACAAGATATCACAACAAGATAAAGCATTGATCATCTAAATGTACATATATACATATCTGAGTTTGGATAGTTAAATCTCTCAACATGTTAGTGTGCAGGTCAAATGCACTCAAATGGTATGGATACACTAATACAGTAGGACTCTCTTATGAGGTGATAAAATATGTAGTTTCAAAATAATCCAGCAAAGATGTGCCCCTAAAATAAAACACAAATACGACCCAAATTATATTGTACCAACTGCAAAGAGTCTAAGAGGTGCAAAACCCAATCCATGCTGTAATACACACCTAAAGAAAATGTTAACAGCTGAAACATTTGATCTGCACTAAATGTAGTCAAATGGAGACATTGTAGCTAAAAAGATTACAGGGCAGGGAGGGAGGTTGGTAATATTCTGAGGTAGATTCAAAAGCAGCGTCTGCTTGTTTTATACATTTTGTGAGTTTTTTCTTTTTAATTTACCATTTCAACTTCAGATCTAATTTAATATCTATAATCTTGGAAACTATTTTTCAATAACTTACTGCCCCCCCCCCCCCCCCCCCCCCCGACCCTTACAATGGCTCTTTTATGCTGCTAATTCTATTCTATTCAAAAGTGACTTTATTTTGTATTCTCGGATGTTTCCTTTCTTCTTCCTCAGCTGTACTTCTTCATGTGAAGGCTCAGTACTTCACATTCACATCGTAGGACACACCCGTAGTGAACTCTGATGATACCTAAACTGTTCTGGGTCAGACGTGTCCTCATGGATCCTCTGCAGTTCACTAACATGGTGCACACTGGGAGTCAGATCCTGACCGTGTTGCATGTCTTTGCCTTTTTTCTATGCATCTTCCCACTGTATGCTGCCTGATGAAGCAGAACTCAGACTGCTTGCATCCATATCCACAGTATGTACTGTATGTACCGTTGCTAGCGTTGATTTTGCATCCTGGCTCTGACCAAAACATATCAATCGATCAAACATACGAAAACAATTATACTTCAATACATATTATTGGAAGAAACCTGTTGAAAAGGATTCAACATCTATAAACAATATGTAATATTTGACACATATGCATTTCCACATTGTATTCAACCATGTTCTAAATCTAACAGGCTTATTTGTTTGCTAATGCTGCAACACCTATTTAGTTGATAGAGATTGCTTCCATTAAATCAGTCTCCATAACAGAAATAATGTAGAATTACATTCACTTTGTTACACTGTAGAACAAATCTATTACTCTTGTATTTTAGGTGTATGTTGCAATGGTTGCAGTTAATAAACAGTCAACAGCACTGATGACTAATGCAAGGGTTAAAGGTTAGGTATGAATCTCAATCATTAAAATGAATACATTACTTCATTTCATTCTCACATTCATTCAATCGACCAAACGTATGCCATGTCAACTTAATTAACTTAGTTTTGATTTTTAATACAAGTAATTACAGCCAATGTTATCTGTTTTTGGTATGCAAAACATTTACAATAAGACATGCAGTCCTGACAGTGAGTCATATTTGGTTATTAAGCATTGCTAACCAAGAAACATTGAGGCAATAAAGTCATGTTATCAAAAGACACCAGAATGCACTTTCGCTTTATTCTGTGAAAAGTCCACAGCACTAATATCACATTGGAAAAGTTCTCTTTCGCCTGCTTCCTCATTTCTTTTTCTCTTTCCATTTCTTTTTGGTTTCTAATTTACACCTGCCATTAGTATCTATATCTATCTTTATACCTGTTTATAGCAAAAATAAATGTATTGCAATATTACTCCAAAAAAAGCTATCCAGTTATTGATCTGTTTTTATTCACTATTTCATCCCTTGTGATTGATAATATGGGGCAGGGGGGTTTCACTATTTTACTGTCACATGTTCACAACAATGCCGATCAGCTGCTCGCTGCATTGTTGAAGTGTTAAACTGTCAATCGTACAGTTTACGGTATCTTGTCCGCAGACGTTGAAGCAATGTTATTATAAGAGCATTGTTTCTCTCTTCTTCAAGCATGGTCATATAATATTTAATAAAGTATTGTATTTATTCACCAGTTACTTATTGTAACTCCACCAGTGATTTGCATGTCCTACATTTGCTGCACAGTCCAGGAACACCACCCTGTGGAGGAGGAGGGATCGTGTTGCCCAAGATGATGCATATCATTCAGAAAAAGCTCTGTTGCACTGCAGTGACCTCAGTTTTATATATTTAGCATGTAAATAATGACTTGTAACTAAGAAACCTTAAAGGAGACATGTCATGCTTTTCCGGTTATTACCCGTCCCCTTGTGTGTTATGAAGGTCTTTATGCATGTAAACGGTCTGCAGAGTAAAAAACCCTCAAAGTACACCCTGTAGGGAGTAAAACTCTTAACACAGAAAATACCTCCCCAAAACACCTCGTTGGAGATTTCTCATGTTCTTCCTGGGCATTGTGACGTCTGAATACCCAGTAGCCACGCCCAGAGCTATTACCAGGCTGATTGGTCCAAATGAACCAATCTCGGACTTCCTCACACACACACACACACACACACACACACAGTGCAGGCAGCTCTGCTGATTTCTCCTCCCTGGCTGCAGGCTGATAAAAGACAGTTGGTACCGTGGCGAAATTCTCTCTGCAGACCCATTCTCACAGCGTTTATCAACCTTTTTCTTACTCAATATCAAGCCACACTTATTGTTTTTACTTCGGCTGTGAGTTTGTTTGTGCTCAGGATGAGTTTGGCTGTGTATCGCTAAACAAGGAAACAACACCTCCACGGAGCTCAGCGCGATTCACAACGTCCCGATCAATCAGAGCACACTGTGCTCACAGGGAGGTTGGGAGCTGGAGCTATTGGAGCTACAACCATGACATGTCTCCTTTAAGAGGACATTCTCTATAGAGGCTTCTCAATACTCAAATTTCCCCTCCTCGACTCCTCGACTCCTCGGTCCTCCGGTAGTGACCCGGAAATGAATTTCAGCGCGCCATTTTGAAGGACGTCTCATTTCTCTAAATGCACACCGAGGATCGAGCGTCGAGGAGGCTCTCTGGAGGAGCTATAACCGTGGATACACTGATGGTTCCTCCACGGCTCCTCAACGCGGATGCATTTCCGGGAACGGTGGAGGCGTGACGCACGGCTGGACTTATCTCAGCCAATGACAGCTCTGCATGCATCCCCTGGATATTATTTTAGAAACTGCTTTCATCGCGTTGCGATGTTTCCAGAGAGAACAGCTGTGAGGTCCGTGCAGAAAGCAGAGCAGTGTGTATAATATATATCACTCAGTATAACAGGCCTACTCTCTTTATTTGCTTTAGTTTAGTAGATAATTACAAACAAATAGTCGATATTTTTCTAAGACCATTTAGTACTTGACATAATAAAATAAATATAATAAACGGCTGTAGCCTGATTATGCTTTAGGAGCTGTAGGTGTGTGTGGTACAGTGTGTAGGTGTGTGTGTGTGGTACAGTGTGTAGGTGTGTGTTGTACAGTGCGTATATGCGGCGGACAGACGGGTCTCAGTTGGTTTGGTGTCCTCTGCTTACTTTTAATACTTGTAAATACAACTTTTGGCCCGTAATTTCAATTCCCCATTTCAGCGACCAGAGAGAGGGGGGGATATATCCAGTCTCTGATTGTGTTACGTTATTATGAGTAGGGGTGCACCGAATGGGAAATTCTTGGCCGAAACCGATACCGAAAATAGGAAACAGTTGGCCGAAAACCGAATGCCGAAAGGCCGAAAATGATTAATAGAAATATATATATATAATGTATTGTGGTGACACGTTATTGGACATAATTCACCTTGCTTATTGTGTTGCCACACGGACCCTTTAGTGGGGAACACCTGTAGCTTTAGCTGCCATTCCTGCTAGCTCATCAGGCAGAGCAGTGCATGTGTTAACCTCTCTGAAAGTAATGGATAATAAAGATTGGAACTCCATTCTTAATACACCGCCTCCGACTCTCTTTTCACGGCACTACACTGGTGACCCTGACTTTTCCGAGAAAGTTTCCGGAAAATTAACGAACATGGCTGAGCGCGATGTTTTCATAAAGCTGCCGGAATTCTGGGAGCACACCGCGGAGGCATGGTTCGCACACGTGGAGGCACATTTCGCCTGCCGACAGGTCCGTGACGGGGACCTAAAATACTACCATGTGGTAGCAGCGCTGGGGAGCTCCACGTCGTCCAGGTTGGTGGGATTCATCGCAGCCCCCCCACATCATGGCAAATATGAGGCGATTAAGGCCCTTCTCCTTAAGACATTTAGCTTATCTGCTAAGGAGAGGGCCCGCCAGATACTTGACATTCAAGGCCTAGGAGACAGCAAGCCATCCCAGCTAATGGAGAAAATGCTAAATCTGCTAGGGGGGGGAAGATCCCCGTATTTTATTCACGGAGATTTTCCTGCGTCACTTGCCTCCCCGGGTACAGACGGCGCTGGCCAACACGCCTGTCACGGAGCCCCGTGCTTTGGCTGAGGAAGCGGATCGTTTTTTCCTGGCTACGCAACAGCCCGGGGCAGAGACGTTAGCCGCGACGCTCAGCGGCCCACCGGCAGTCAAGAAAGCGTGGCGGAGGCCGGACACGGCTGTGGCTAGCCGGCGTGGAGACGCCGGAGAGTGCGTTTACCACGCACGTTTCGGGACAAGGGCGAAGAGATGCATCGCTCCGTGCAGCTACAAACCCCCGGGAAACGGAGGGGCCGGCGCTCAGTAGTGGCTCTGAGCGTCGGCGGCACGTGCAGGCTCCTCTTCGTCAGCGACAGCGTTTCGGGGAGCCTGTTTCTGTGTGACACGGGCGCTCAACGGAGCGTAGTTCCAGCGTCGAGTGAAGACGTCGCCCGTGGGGGGCACGGACCGCGATTGACGACGGCTAACGGCAGTCCCATTCGCACGTACGGCGTGAGGCCTATGTGTTTGTGCATCGGAGGACAGCGTTTCAGCTGGGATTTTGTGACAGCGGACATTTCTTTTCCCCTCCTCGGAGCGGATTTTTTGTGTGCTCATGGACTCTTAGTGGACGTTAAGAATAGGCGTTTGGTTGATGCCTTAACGTTTTCTTCCCTCGTGTGCACACTTGGCAGCGCAGCGTACGACGGGCTGTCAGGCTCGCTGTCAGGTGCAGACACGTTTCTCAGACTGTTGGCCGAGTTTCCAGACCTGTCGCTACCCACCTTCTCTGCGCTTACCACTAAGCATGGCGTGGAACACCACGTCACTACCGGAGGGCCTCCTGTCTACGCCAGGGCCCGGCGGTTGAACCCTTCTAAGCTGGCTGTAGCGAGGGCGGAGTTCGCAACCATGGAGCGCCTGGGCATTGTCCGCCGCTCCGACAGTCCTTGGGCTTCCCCCCTGCACGTCGTTCCCAAATCGAACGGCGGGTTCCGCCCGTGCGGGGATTACCGCCGACTCAACGACGCCACTATCCGGTGCCGCACATTCAGGACTTTTCGGCGCATCTGGCCGGTACGGGGGTGTTTTCCAAGGTGGACCTGGTGCGTGGATACCACCAGGTGCCCATGCACCCCCTGGACATTCCCAAGACAGCAGTGATAACGCCTTTTGGACTTTTTGAGTTCTTGCGGATGCCTTTTGGACTCAAGAATGCCGCTCAGACGTTCCAGCGCCTGATGGATTCGGTGCTGCGGGACCTGCCGTTTGTGTTTGTTTACCTCGACGACATACTCGTCGCCAGCGCTTCAGTGCAGGAGCACCTGTCCCACCTCCGAGCCCTTTTCACACGGCTCAACGAACACGGATTAATCATCAATCCTGCAAAGTGCCAGTTCGGGGTGTCGGACATCGATTTCCTGGGGCACCGCGTCACCAAGGGCGGTGCGACACCTCTGCCAGCGAAGGTGGAGGCTGTTGCGGCGTTTCCTCGCCCGCTCACAGCCCGGTCGCTCCGTGAGTTTCTGGGGATGGTGACTTTCTACCACCGTTTCATCGCCCGGGCCGCACACATCATGCGGCCGCTGTATGAAGCGTTGAAAGGCAAGACCCCCGTCCAGGAGATCGACTGGACAGCAGAGGCGGACGGCGCTTTTGCTGAGGTCAAGACCGCGTTGGCTCAGGCGGCTTTGCTGGCACACCCATCATCTACGGCTCCCATCTCCATCACCACGGACGCGTCAGACTACGCGGTCGGCGCAGTGCACAAGCAGTGGGTGGAGGGCGCTTGGCAGCCGCTCGCCTTTTTCAGCCGCCAGCTGACGCCTAGAGAACGCAAATACAGCGCCTTTGACCGGGAGCTCCTCGGACTTTATTTGGCCGTGCGGCACTTCCGTTTCATGCTGGAAGGCCGTGAATTTACGGCGTTTGTCGACCACAAGCCGCTCACCTTTGCCATGTCAAAAGTGGCGGAGCCTTGGTCGGCACGTCAGCAGCGGCAGCTGTCCTACATATCGGAGTTCACTACGGACATTAAGCACGTGGCTGGCAAGTCGAACCTGGTTGCTGATTGCCTCTCCAGGGTCGTCATCGGTGCCGTCCAGTTGGGCCTGGACTATACTCGCATGGCGGCAGACCAGGTCACAGATCCCGGCGTCCAGGCCCTGAAGGTGGAGAGCGCGGGGCTGCGCTTGGAGGACGTGGTGTTCGGCGACGCGGGCATTACTCTCCTGTGTGACGTCTCTACGGGCCTGGCGCGGCCTGTCGTCCCTGCCAGCTGGAGGCGTCCTGTATTCGAGGCTGTGCACGGCCTGTCACACCCCGGCGTTAAACCTTCGGTCCGTTTGGTAGCGGCGAAGTTCGTTTGGCAAGGACTGAAAAGGGACGTGAGGACTTGGGCCAGGGAGTGCGTGGCTTGTCAACGCGCTAAGGTGCACCGCCACACGAAGGCCCCGTTGGAACGTTTCCTGGTGCCTGAGAGGAGGTTTGATCACGTCAACATTGACCTGGTTGGTCCGTTGCCTTCCTCTCAGGGGTTTTCCTACCTCCTCACCATGGTGGACAGGACGACCCGTTGGCCGGAGGCGGTTCCGCTCGTTTCGACATCAGCCGCAGACGTTGCCCGGGCCTTCATTGCAACGTGGGTGTGTCGTTTTGGCACCCCGTCAGACATTTCCTCAGACAGGGGCTCTCAGTTCACGTCCGAGCTCTGGAACGCTGTGGCAGGCGGTTTGGGGGTTAAGCTGCACAGGACTACCGCTTACCACCCTCAGGCTAACGGTCTCTGCGAGCGCTTTCATCGCTCCATGAAGGCGGCCCTCAAGGCCGGCCTTACGGACGGTAACTGGGTCGACAAGCTGCCCTGGGTGATGCTGGGCCTGAGGACCGCACCTAAGGAAGATCTGCAGTATTCTACAGCGGAGATGGTCTACGGTCAGCCGCTGAGAGTTCCGGGGGATTTCCTCCCAAATGCATCGGCTCCCTGGTCGGCGTCGGCCCAGCGGGCTTTCCTGCGTGACGCCGCTGAGGCCTTTGTTCCGATCCCTACTACTCAGCACGGTACTCAGGTGTCCCAGGTTCCCGCAGAGCTCCGCTCGGCGGAGCATGTGTTCATCCGGCACGATGCGCACAGAGGCCCCCTGCAGCCCCCTTATGATGGGCCTTTCCGGGTCTTGGAGCACGGGGACAAGCACCTGGTGGTCGACCTGGGTGGCAAGGCCGAGCACGTCTCGGTGGACCGGGTGAAGGCTGCTCACCTGGACTTGGACCAGCCTGTGGTGCTGGCTCGACCTCCGCGACGGGGCCGCCCCCCGGCCTCGTCCCCTGTCACGGATTTAAGACCTGTTGTTCCGGTCCCTCCCCTTCCGGGGGCCGCACAGGCGGGAGTCACTTTTCCGACTCCCGTGCTCAGGAGTCGTGGGGGTCGGCGTGTCGTTCCTCCCCGCCATGCTGATTTTGTTTATGTGTGAATTCTGGGGGGGCTTGTGTGGTGACACGTTATTGGACATAATTCACCTTGCTTATTGTGTTGCCACACGGACCCTTTAGTGGGGAACACCTGTAGCTTTAGCTGCCATTCCTGCTAGCTCATCAGGCAGAGCAGTGCATGTGTTAACCTCTCTGAAAGTAATGGATAATAAAGATTGGAACTCCATTCTTAATACACCGCCTCCGACTCTCTTTTCACGGCACTACAGTATACATTTTTTACCAATGTTGTTCAGCTACCTGATTATGGAAATAGACATGATTATGGCAAAACTTAACTTAAATAATAATCACTATTATGGGTCCATAAAACATTTATTCAGCACTTTTGAATGCATACAGTACATTTATATATGTCATGTATTATTGCTAAAAAACATTATATCGCAGTCTTAGTGTCGCCAACTCGTTTCTAATATGCAAAGACAACAAATGCGTCTATGATGTATTTTCGATCAGACGAGATCTCTCTCCCCCGTCTGTGTGCGAGGGGGCGGGGCAGTTTACACACGCAGCTGCTACATGCAGCGAAGCACACTGCGGAGATGGCGGAGAGAACGCGCTCCGAGGTGTGGTTAAACTTTACCCGTCTCGATGTGGAGAATACTTGTTACCATAAGTGCAATAAGAGTTTAGCATGTAAGCACGAGCAATTTGTCTAAACATTTAGCAAAAGTGCACCGCATGCAGACGGAGGAATGTACCGGGTTCGACCGTCTTTCTAGCAGCTCTGTAGCCCCATCCACGAGTAACGTTTCCACGTCAGGTGTTATGTATGCTAGCAGCAACACACGGAGTTAACTACATTATACAAACATGGGTTAATGATTAGAGGTAACTGAGTTATTTAGTTTGTTAAAATTTCAGCTATTCTGTTTTATGTATGCTAGCACCAACACACGGAGTTAACTAGGCCTACATTATACAAACATGGGTTAATGATTAGAGGTAGGCTAACTGAGTTATTTAGTTTGTTAAAATTAAATTGTATATATTTATATAAATATATACAATTTAATCTCATTATACCGCACTCTCAATGAATTCAAAGTAAATATTCAGTTCAGCCCGATGAGAGGGGATACAGCTGTGCACATGTCATCATTAACAGACGTCGTTTAAGAGTGACGTTTGAGTGAACGAGGCCATCCCAATTAATACCTGAGGACTCCTCTGTCCTCGCGTCACCTCCTCGTGTCTCTCGCTCGCATTTTACGGAGGCGGAGCTAAGACGCAAGGAAGGGCAGCGAATGAGGGAAAGGAGGAGTCGAGGAGGGGTATTGGGATGAGGCTTAAGTCTCGAGGAGGGGAGTCGAGGAGGGGAAATTTAAGAATTGAGAAGCCTCTTATGTATCACCACAGTGTCCAGTAAGTAAAGGTACTCATTATGCGTAATGTCCCATTTCAGAATTGTACATTTATTGAGTTACTGGGTAACTATTATGAAGATGTATGTGTTTTTATCCCAACTGGTAAAGGTAGAGCTAATTTAAATAACTTTATATACTGCTGCTGGATATCTTAACCTATACATATATGTCAAAGTTTATTTAATAATTGATTTATATTATGAATTATTCTAAACCTAAAAAGTAACTAGTACCAAAAGCTGTAAAGTACAAGTACCTCACAATTGTACTTAAGTACAGTAGTTGAGTAAATGTACTTTGTTACTTTCCACCACTGGTAATATCCCACTCAACCAGTACCTCGGCCCACCGCCATCCGGGCGTAGGTACAGCACATTGGAAAAAGCTTGATTCTGTCAGGATGAAGCCATTCCTGTCTTAAATAACAGGCCTCGCTGAGTGTATCTGCCATGTGTGTCGCTATCTGTTGTTGTCAGGTGTTATTATTGTTGTTTATATATTGTATGTATATTGCTTATATGTACAGTGCTGTGAAAATTAATTTCCCCCTGGGGACAATACATCTAATCTAATCTACTCTGACATGTACACTCTTGAGAAAATAAGAAAAGCAATTAAACAATCTGCAACTTTCATCTTTATAAAAACACATTTTGAAAAGCTTGAACGCTCATTGGTTCTAAACAATGGACACAATCAATTAAGTGGTAATCAGAGAAGCAGTGGTAGAATAAAAAAGAAAAGAGATTTCCTTTCCTTTTATGGCCCAAATGTGTTTAAGTAGGTAAGTACTCAATACTAGTAAGTAATTTAACTACTTGAAACGCTACAACAATATGGATATAGTTAAATAACCAGCAGGCCACTGTTAAAATGGTTCCACTGCTAGTTAAATTACTGGTGTTTCTGTGAAGCTTGCAAGTTGTTGTAACTGTATGTAATGTTATGACGATAATACATGAGGAAGCAGGGCGTCCACATTCTCCCACTTCCTCTTTTTCACTCCTTAAATTATCCTCATGAATGTACAAAGTAATATCTCTTCTTGCTTTAACTGGTGAGTACTAATAACTTTGATACACTCAATACGTTTCTTTTTTTACATTGTCCTCACCTGTAATTAGACAATATTAATCTGTGTCCTGTGCTATGATGTTTCAGGTTAACTAATCATGGAAAGCTTAATTCTGATTATTCTGGTAATTTTCCCAGGTAAGGAACCTTTTATGTAATTGTATTAATGTTTAGAAAAAGTATTGACTGTGATCAAATGCAACTTTTGCTGAGAACAGTTACATTTGACAAGTTAGACACACCCACATTTGGGTATTTTATGGATTCTATTAGCAAATTAATAATTCAATTGACTGTATATTTTCTTTATTTTTGCCCAAAGGTGTGCAGGGTGGGGACTGGGGGGTGACCTCTGGAGATCAGTGTGCTTTGAGAGGGTCGTCAGTGATCATAGACTGTCAGTACGACTATCCTTCAGGGCGGTGGGTCACGTCAGTGGGCTGGTCCAAACTCCTGCCTGCACTGGGACGTCCGGGGCACTTTATCCTCTCACAGCTCCCTCTGAACTCAGCATACTTTAACTATGTGGGCAACTACTGGAGTGACTGCCGTCTGCGGATCAATAATGTACAGCACGATGATGAAGGAGCATACCTTTTCAATTTCGTGACAACAATCAACAGATGGACAAGCAAGAGAGCGGCTCGTTTGTCCGTAAGAGGTAATAACTATTAATCAAGGAAGGATACATTCCTCATAAATTAAATGTGTTTTTGTGACATTATGATTCTGTTGCAGAGCTGACCACAGTGGTGGAGCCGAGCACAGTGACAGAGGGGGGGGAGGTCCGTCTGTCCTGTGTGTCGGGCTGCTCTACACCGGTCAACATCCTCTGGTTCAGAGACAGACAGCCTGTCCCACAGCCGGGGTTCCAGGCTACCAGAGAGGATGCTGGGAGATACTACTGTGCCGTCCAGGGACAGGAGACGGTGAGATCTGCCCCTGTGGCTCTGAATGTTCAATGTAAGTATTCAGATATATAAATAATAATTTTAGAGCACAAGTTGATATGCAATGTTCCTGTCGCTGTACATTTTAAGCCCAATTTTGTTTAGATATTTTACAAATTGCATTTATTTGTATTAGTAGTGTTTATATATTTTTATTATTATATTATATTTTTATCATAATAATAATTTTTTATATAATTATGATTGTTATTATAATAAGTATTATTGTTATTGTTATTATTGTTGTTATTAGTATTATTATTGTTATTATTATTAAGTGATTAAACTTACTTTTTTAGCTTGTTCTTACTATTCATTTATTGTTTCATAATTGTATTTTTTTCTTTATTCATTCATTCAGTTATTTATTGGTTATTATAGGTTTATGATATCACTGCCCCGTCTAAGACACGAGTGGATCTGACTTTAATTACATTTGACTCGAGTGTTTCGTCAACTTAATGTGTTGCTTAAAATAATACTTCTGCATACAGTATGTGACACTGAGTGTTGCACGGCCAGATACGGCTCAGCTAACTCAGATAAGGAAATATATGATACATTTATGGGCTTAGATATGTCTCGTAATTATTTGTGTGAACATAAAAATAATTTGTGTGTAAATATGTGATTTGTAAATGTAAAACACCTTCCACAAATGCATTTAAAAGATTTGCAAACTCACAAATACATTTGCAAATGTAAGAAGGATCTGCAAATACTGTATGCAAAATATATTTACAAATAAAAAAAAGATCTTTGAATATCTCTTTAACATTTACAACTTTCCATCAGGCATTTGTGAATCCATTTTGTATTTGTCGACCGAAAATGCACTTGTGATGTGGATCTCACATTTCTGCTCGTGGATCTCAATTCTCTGCTTGTGGATCGTCTTTTTACACACACAGAGTTTTGAGACAAACTTTCCACCGGTCTCGGCTAAAATCTACTCGTGTCACTCGGTTATTTTCGTTATTTAATAGTTCAGGCCCCTGTACTACGAAGCTGGATTTTTGCTTAGCGAGCTAACTTCAGGGAAAACTGGGTTTCCGGTCCTACGACGCTGGTTCACTTCTTAGCGGGCTAGATCTCCATGGTAACTTAGCAGGTTAGGTTCCAGGATAAGAGATCAACTCAGTGAAAGCACCGCCTGCTGCAATCAGAGCTCAGTGTGCGGAGTTTAAAGCTATCAAGTCATATTACAGGAGAAAGGAAATACGTGAACGTGAAAATGAATAGAATATCACCTCCCATCTTCAGAGCACTCTGACTAATATAATATTAGCATTAAGAAAGCTTACTTAAATATCTGCCACACCATAAGTAACCAGATCAAAGTAACATTAAGTACAGTCCGCGGCACTGTGAGTGCAGACTTCGATGTGTCCCATTATCATTCATATCACATCATATCACATAAAAATGTATCATATATGTAATTTTTTTTAACTATAATGATCATATAAACGTGTGCCTCGGAAATTGTTTACATTAATCGTGACCAAAACATTTGAGACCCACTGAGATAACTTATACTAAAGTTATCTAAACACTCAGTCCTTTAGCTCACTGAGCCTCTCAGTCTGACAGGAGAGGACTCTCCTCCACGTTGTTATTGAAAAAGCTCCTTATATCCGTTAGCGTAGCTCGCTAGCACCAGAAGCTAACAACAACGATCTCCGGTACCAGTGCGCTCTCTCTCTCGCACGCACACAAAATGGCTCGTTCCACACACACACAGAGCCGAGCTTTAATGAAACACAGAGACCCAGACGTAATTGTACACTGTATCATATTATGACTTTTTTTAAAAAAAAAAAATTTAAATAACCATTTTTCCTCCTGGTCTCTCGCGCCCCCCCCTGTCATGCCTCTGCGCCCCTCACTTTGAAAAACACTGGATTAGGTCAAACTCAAAAATCCAGGGTATGTTGAACTGGATTCGTAGTACAGGCCTCTTGTCAGTCTAATTTGTCCTCTGTTTGAACTACCAATGAAAGTGGACAAAATTACTATTAATATATTTTAAATAATTTTACTTACTGACTGAGACTTTTTTCCCATGAAATTTGTGATTCACTGATCACTAAAAGCCTGACCCTCCTCATCCTCTCTCAGATGCTCCCAGGAAAGTCACACTGTCAATGACTCCTTCAGTCATCAAAGGAGGTGCGGTGACCTTCAGCTGCAGCAGTGACGCTAACCCCCCCGTGCCCCAGAGCGGATACAGCCTGCACAAAGACGGACACCTCATCAGTTCAGGACAGAATCACACCGTGTCCAACATCCAGCCCCCCCACAGCGGCCTGTACTCCTGCCTGGCCTGGAACAACATCAGCCGGAGCGGCATCAGTCGCATCAACTCCACCCAGCTGCACCTCGACGTCCTGTGTGAGTGTGTGGAGGCTGCGGTCAGATGTCTGTGTGTCAGTGTGTTACTAAAAACTGTGTCATAGTGGATTCAAGCATGACATTCACTAATGACAATGCATGATTAAATTCATCGCAATCTAATGACTGCACCATGCTATATTGGTTCCTGACCTTTTAGGCTTGTGAATAAAGCCTGGTTGACCCTCAGCACTCGATATGGTTTCGAGTGAACACTTTAACCAGTTTCCTATCTTAGATTGTACAATTTCAGTTGTAAATTCAACTGTATGTTTTGAGACCTGAATAGGTGAACACATCCAGTATTTCCACAGCAAAAAGCCAAATTAAGAGGAAAGTCTGAAAAATAATCAAGTCAAAGTTTCTCTTTAAGCCTTTGAGTTATCATTGTAATCCCTAAATTGCTGAGTGAGCCTTAAAGATTATCTCCAAGGTGGATAAAACTGTCAACATGGTTTTTTTTACTTTCTTCAGACCCTCCAGAGAACATATCCATTTCGATGGACCCTCTGGATGTTGTAGAGGGCGGCAGTATGAATCTGAGCTGCAGCAGTGCCGCTAACCCCGCAGCTCACAGCTACACCTGGTTCAGGCAGAGTGCCCCCAGCCTCAGCTCCATGCTGCGGGTGGGCTCTGGACCGCTGCTGACCCTCCCCTCTGTGGACGCGTCCCACACCGGACTCTACCTCTGCACGGCCAGGAACCAGCTGGGGGAAAACAACTCAACTGAGGTGATGCTGACCATGAGGAAAGAATATCAAGGTCTGTGTCATCTTCATATATTACTGCTGCTGGGTTCTTCCAGAAATAGCATCTAAAGTGTATATTTAATACAAAATTGCTATTATGTCCATAGACGACAAAAATAACTGTATCAAAAACCTGCGATAAAGAAAATGTTTATATCAATATAATAATGTCACTGTAGTTTTTTTATGAGGGAAAATATTTAAATTACTTTCTGTATTAACCATTAGGGGAAATGATTTTCCTTATAGTCTGGGTGAGCATAAATAGACAGTGTATTTTAGTGCATTTTATTTTCTTGTGCAGGAAACCAGAAAAATTGTCTGTATGTGCCACATAGGCCAAGAAAATGACTCAATTTGGTAGAAATTTGTAAAGGTAAATGAAATACAGGGCTCCAGATACAAATGCTTTAATGGCTGTGGTGTCAAACCTTGTGGATTCAATATGTTTTAATGCTGACATTTTTTAGGAGCTGAGGTTGTATAACGTGCAGTAAATATAAATCTTGCAAAAATAGATGCCATACACAATAACGGCCAAAATGATCAACAAAAAATTCAAAACATGTCCCTAGTGAGGCTCAAGGGTGTGAAGTGTCGTCAGTCAGAGGTGCAGTAGTGTAACAGATCTTTGTGTTTCTCCACAGGCGAACAGACCGTCCCTGTCTTAGCTGGAATTGGAGTGTGTGTATTTGTGGCGCTACTGTTAGCTCTGCTTCTGTTCAGGTGAGTAACGGGAGGATGGGCGGAGGGAGTGTGACTTACTCATGTCATAATTGCTGTTCACATTATCTTTTTCCACATTTCTTGTAACTTTTTTCAATGTGTTTCACCCAATGTTGTCATAGCTGCATGTACAACAGTGTGTAAGGGCTGTGTGTGTCATCCTAATTTCCACATGCCACATGACACTTTTAACCATTTACTAATTTTGTCTGCAGTTGGCAAAAAAAAATTGTTTTAAGTAGGAGCTTCAACATATTATTAAATGATGATCTACTCCATAGTGCGGGCAGAATGTTATTGCCAGTCTCATTAATATCTTTTTAAAATACCTTTATTTCAGATGTACGCCATATATTATGAACTGACAATTAGAAAAGATATACAGTATATTATCAAAACGTTTTGTCTACTGAGCAGCAGTTTATAGAAATAACAAGCTGCTGCTGTTTTCCTTTTCTTACAGAATAACCTCTCTAAAATATGACATCAAAGAGTAAACAAAAAACATTAAAAAAAAAAATCTCCACATTAATTTATTTTGTTGTCTTGGTAGGCTGAAACAGAGGACCCGTGCAGAGAAAAAAGTGAGTATTACAGGTCATTTAATTTAAAATGATGTTAAGATGTCAGATTTCAGTTCCCTCTCAAACTGAAATTCATATAGAAATACTTTTGAAAGGGGACATACGGTAAGTAAAGGCTCTCAGTCTGCGTGCTAAGTGAGATTGCTTAGTTTCCTGTGGTTTTCCCTATTATGAAATCCTAACCTGAACTCCTACTTGCAATAGTAGAAAGTTTATAGAGCCAAGGCACATGATGGTAGTTTCCCAATGGGCAGCTGCAGTGGAGAAATAAAGGGAAGTAAAAGGATGACTCAGCAAAAAACCTAATCAGATTTTCAATGTGCTCCTCTCAGCCGACTGTGTTCGACTTCAGGCTCAGTGAGAGAGGCTCGAGCTCCTCAGGTCCATCTGACAGTGTTTACGCCAACATCCAGCCCAACATCCGGCAGGCGCTGCCATCTCCTCCGCCTGCTGCTCAGGAGATCACTCCTCTATCTCAGAGGTCACACCATGAGCAAGAGGTAAATATGGGGCATGTTTAATATAGCATCTCCGCTCACATTAATCAGATTTTGAATGAAGTGACTCTTCTCTTCCTTCAGGCACCCATGTCTTATGAAGATGACGTGACCTACGCCACAGTGACCATTAAACCCATAAACTCCACTCATCACATGAACAGCAGGTAACTGTCCGAATAACCACCTGATCACAGCTCCTCAATACTCAATGTAGCACGTCAAGTTTGTGTGAAGTCTTTAGTCACCTTACTGTATAAAATAACACATTTAAAAACGAAATAGGACAGTCAAATTATGTTTATCATTGTATTTAGCTTACCAATGTTGACAGCTGTAGGCCTTTACAGTAACTGACGTAATGTGAGCTCTCGCTCCCTCCTCTCGCCCCACTTATTTAAAGAAAACTTTGATATTTTACTTTTCTCAGTGAAAATATTCAGGAGTCCCAGTTATTTTGCAAATAATTATACTATAAATTAAATATATAGTGTGTATTAATCATGTTTTCAGTATTTCCCAACATTTTAAATACTCAGTCCAAATATATTTTCATGCTTAAAATATAACTATCCAGCTTATAACCCAACATATAATATGTCCATACTATACTACAGCCTTAATGACAACACAATTGAATTTCAAGTAAAATGACAGTACTGTTGTTATGTTTTTCATATATGATTAAAAAGAATGGTTCTGGTACAAGGCATCAGTGCTGCTGTTATAAGGCTGCTGTCCCCGCATCACCTCCACATGCTGCAGTTTGGTTAAAGTCCACTAACACCATCATTTAACCATCCCATAATATCCTCCTCAGGTCCAGAGCTGGTGATGATGATGACTCTGTGATCTACGCTTCACTGGCCTGACCTGTTCACTCCTTTAGGCCGGGTTCATCTTCATCAAGAGAAATGATGCCGTGTGGCGTCTTAAAAGTTCAAGTCTCTCAGGAGGGTTGAAAAGAGATTTATTTATTTGTAATAAATATATATTTATATTTTTGCAAGGCTTTTTTGTTATAGTTTGTACATAAATACTGACTGAATACACTTATTTAATGTTTTTTATATACTTAAGTTAAGTTGTGGGTTACTAAAAAGTATACTGAAGTCTGTACAGTTGGTAATAAAGAGTTATGAATACAGCATGGCTATGGGCAAATTGTTTTATTTTTATTTCAATACAATACACAATGCTACAATTTACATTTAACAATATCAATTTTCTCTTTCACACATGAAAATTGCCATAAATGTACATGCATCACTTCATCGATCAAATGTAACACTTCTGGGAAGTAATTTGGACTTTATGGATTCAGATTCAATAGTAGAATTCCACATAAGAATTTAGACTTTTTTCTAAATACAGTTGTGCATTTTTCAGTGTGCTATCATATTGTGCTTACATTTCCCTTAAAGTGTGTCGTCTCAAACATCCACATTTCACAGTGTAGTCAAATCTAAAATCCAGTGCTTTTGTCCTTTTGTGTGTCTCAATGTAATACAATAAAACACTCTTATTTTAAAGTGTAAGGTCAACGTAATGTAAAAGCAATATAAAGATTTAAAGCACCCTGCCACTTTAATCTCAACCATACAAGTGTGCATCTGACATAGTGACACAATCTATATTGTATATCATATTGCTGAAATATTGGTGGTTTATTTGAAGTATTACTGTAGTAGCAGAGGGGGCGTTTTAGTATATAATACTATTGGTCATGATTGAGTATACACACTCCTGCCAGTTGGCTTTGAGATATGTCAATCAAATGCAACATGTCTCAAATAAACATCTACATAAACAAACCTTACTAATATTTACAAGACATTAACAACATACTGTTTTCAATAGAAGCATCAACTCCATGTGGGGATTTTATGAAGACAGATCTTGAATTAATAATAATTTTGTATACAAAACTCAGTATACTGCATATAAAAAGACATAACATGTATTACACTAGAGTTTAATTATAAAAAAAGATGTGAAAAGTTGTACGTGTGCTGTGATTTTACCAAATAGAACACACAAGTTCATGGTTTTCTTAGATATCTCATTGTGTGTGTGTGTGTGTGTGTGTGTGTGTGTGTGTGTGTGTGTGTGTGTGTGTGTGTGTTGCCTGCTTCTTAGAGTTGCACAATGTAAAAGTACTAAAAGAGTTGAGTTTGCTCAAGATCTTAACTGATCATTGTTACAAATCAAATGTGCAGTAAATCCAGCACTGAAGAAAGTGACCCACATGGGACAGAGTAACACCTAGACATAACGAATTTAAACTCATCATTAATGAACCCTTGTTATTACATCTATAATTTTTAAATGTGAATTTACAAGGCTGAATTCAATGTATTGATTTTTTACAAAAATTGCATCTTATATTGTGATAAAGCGATCTTTTTTTTTAATCAGTTTTTTTTACTTTAAAGGTCACCTATTATGCAAAATTCACTTTTTCATGTATTTTATAGATACAAATGTGTCCCCTCTGTGTTAAGAGATTTGGAGAGTTTCAGGAAAAAAGATTCTCTCTGTTTTTGTCCAGATCCATTGATATAAAAACTGTCTGAACACCTTTAAAAAAGTAAGTTAATCTACTTCCATAAGTCTTTGTTTTTTAAAGAGCCCTGTCTGTCTGTTTATTAGGAGTCTTGGTGGGAATTTATGTTGTGTTTAGGTTCAGGAAGAGGTTGAATCCACAATATGAAAAACGTTTTAGTTAAGAAGGGGAATGAACAACCATGATATGTGGAGAACGTCACAGCTCTCCATTCAAGAGCAGAAAAAGGTGAAAACATAAGAGCAAGAATCTCAAGTTCGGGCCATTTTGTGAAGCCCCGGCGTGTTGTTATAGTTCTGAAGGAGAGAGATAAGAGCTGATGTTAAAACACATTCATAATGTCACAAGAAGACAGTAAAGAACCTGAAGCACACATGTATCCTAAATGTTGTAACTCTGACCATAACTGTTTGTGTTTTTGCTGGTTGCAACATTTTGGTTCCTTATTGGAAATTCTATATTTTGTGTGTGAGAGGAAATGATGGACGCAGTGAGAGGCAAATGAAAGAGAGGAACTTAAGCGATTTATTTTTCAAATCTGATTGAAATAGTCATTTCTCCTGTGTTTATAACTTGTTGTAACAGTTAGTTTGGCCTCAAGAGGTTGAAGTGATCCCCAGCCCCGTGTTCTCATTAGAACTCAAAACATGACATTTAATTTCTCAATGCACTGTAAACATGAGGTACATACTGTATATTGTGTGAAGCCATACGTTGTTGGTTTATAGATGAGCTGAATGCCAGTGACTGACTGTTCTGTTACTGTAATTATTATCTCAGTTAAAGAATCCCTTTTCTTACCCTCATGGCCGTAGACATCCAGGGCAGAAATCTGGACACTCGGGTGTAGACGCCCGGTTTCTTGGCCAAGGCGCAGCCGATCCCCCAGCTCACCACCCCCATCAGACGATACCTCCTGCTCTTAGAGAAGCAGTCTTCTGCAACAAGAGGGCCACCGCTGTCTCCCTGAAGACACAGACCATTACAGCAGTTCACACACAATACAACAACCCATTTTAGGCAAGCATTTAAAGAAATTGAAGTGAATAGTAATGCAATAAAATGTATTAAAAGTATATGTATTGGATTCAAACAGGCATGAATGTTGCGGGCAGATTAAACGCACTCTGACCTGGCAGGCGTCAGTGCCTCCTTTCTCATAACCAGCACAGAACATACTGGTGGTGATCTGGTTGTCATAGTAATCAGGACCGTTACACACAGCGTCACTGATGATGGGGACGTTCGCTTCCTGCAGAATATCTGCTTGAATACCTGCGGTTGCGAAAAATTAAAAACATTTTAAAAAACATACTGTCAATTACTGTTAAGGCCTTTAAAGTATTGCAATATTAATGACTTTGTATATGTAATTATATAAATTGAAGTATACAGTTTAAACTAGCTCTCTACTTTTACTTAAGTAACATTTTAAATGATGTACTTGTAAGTGTAGCAGAGTACCTTTACACTGTATCATGGCTACTTTTAATGAAGTTAAATAACTAATTCCACCATTGAAAATAGATTATGTTGATAAAAGGAATGCAAACACATACAGTTAATACCATAGAGATGTAATTCAGAGGATGGACTCACCATAGTAATCTATATTTCCCCAGCCTGTTACTGTTCCCATCTGTCCGTCTACCAGTCTTTGACCATAGGCTGGCAGGCAAATAGGCTGCACATATTCTACACACAAACAAATGATATAAGAAATATATTAATACTGCACACAATGATTCAAACACTGCAACATGTGTCAGGACAGGGACACCAATGGCCAAGAACCACCACACAAACTGAAACTCTAGATTTGTTAGGATTATACTATTTGTCCGGTTATTTCCTGTCATTTTCTCTCTCCCATTACAATATCATGTCTTTGCTTTCATTATCATATGTTGGCGTAAGTGAAGTTCTCATTGGATCATGCCATCTAGGCTGAAGTAAATAGTTTATAATCCAAAGCAACAGGCTTTTAAACATGTAAACCACATGTTTTCTATTTTTTAGCACTGAAACAGTTCAATGCATTGAGCAGCTACTGTATCCTTGACTTATTTTCACTCCAGTGGAACTTTTGCTTTGGTTGTAATTATGAAAGCAAACACTAGATGTCAGACGAGGCACACTGAAACATTTTGCTTTTAGAGTTTATCATTGTAGTTTCTACCTCTGCATAGTGTGTTATACACAGGGGTGCACATCACTTTTTTAGTGAGTTACTCAGATGAGTACCAGGAGACAGTGTTTGGTACTCACCCCACATGAAGCGTGGTGTTAATAAGTGCAGTCTTCCTCACTGTCCTCCTCAGTGTCTCCTTCACTCTCCTCTATTTACACTTCTTGCATGCTAGATGATGAAGATGATGAAGATGCACCTCCCTGCCTCCAATTTGCTTTCTCCCAAACTTGTTGCCAACACTGTGAAGTCCTTGTATTTCCTGAGGCCAAGTTGAAGGATCAAATACTAAGAAATTATCACATGACTTGAAGTCACATCTGATTTCAGAGGTGGGAAGTAACAAAGTACACTTATTCAAGTACTGTACTTAAGTACAATTTAAGATACTTGTAGTTTACTTGAGTATTTCTATTTTATGCTACTTTGTACTTCTACTCCACTGCAGTTCAGAGGTAAATCATGTACTTTTCCTCCACTACATTTATTTAATATCTTTAGTTACTTTACAAAATGTGGATGAATGATGTGAAATATAATCAAGTCTTAAATCAGACTTTAGTTCCACCTGGAGTAAATTCACAAGCTACCCTGCAGTATACAAAGTCATTCAAGCTAATTTTATAACACTTTAATGATCAATAATTATAAAACATATCATATACATTATTATGAAATGGACCAATCTGCAAAATGACTACTTTTACAGTCGCTACTTTAACTATATTTTGATGATAATACTTTTCTAATTTTACTTGAGTAACACTTCTTCCACATCTGTCTGATTTCAAACTCTCCCATTAACACCCTGAGTAAGTTTGCAGCTGTGTGTTTTACTCCACTTTGTTGTAAATAAAACTGCAGCAGCTTGACCACAGAGCATGAACGTTGTGATCAGCTGATTTTGCGCAGTTCTCCAGTGTGTGCGCGTGCAGCCAGTTGACGTGCAGCCAGTTGACGTATGTTTGGTACAATTATGTTGTTCATACCGACGTTAACAACAGCCCCGTCTGTGCACATGGCGACCAACTCTGTCGTCCAGTGATCTAAGCCTCTTTCTCCTGTAAAGCTTCACAGGTCCGTCGGTTATGTCCTGCGGCACGGCCAGCACCCAGTTCAATCAGTCATAGAAAGTCCGAAGATTTTTGCAGGGAGCTAAACGGCAAAGTGGCTGCTTAATGTCTTCTTTTTTTTTGGACATGTCTAATAATTTACTCCACTGAGTGTTGACAAGAAACACGTGTAGACGAAATATGTGTTTTGTTTTGTTCAGATTGTTGCCGCGCATGCGTACCAGTTATGTGCACCCCTAGTTATACAAACAAACACATTACAGACATATGAATGTGTGTAAATATTGAATTAAAGGAGTCATGGGATTAGAAATAGAGACGCATCTTGTTCAGGGCTAATATAATAGATGTTGTCAATATATTAAAAGTCACCTATTATATCAAATCCACTTTGTCATGTCTTTTATACATCACCATGTGTCCCCTCTGTATAAAGAGATTCTGAAAGCTTCAGGAAACATATTTGCTCTCTTTTTGTCCTGATCCGTTTATATAAAAACCTGTCTGAAAATGGGCTGATCAGATGTTGCCCACTTAATGATGTCATAACGATTTTTTTGGCTTGTGTAACCATTAGCCAATCACCAACCAAGGTAACAACTTTGACCTTCTTCTTCATATCTGATCATAGCTCAAATTCAATCAAATACTCAAGTGTGTCAATGAGTGATTTGATGAATATGAGTGGTTTTCTTGTGTGACCTACCGTTGAAAGTGAGGGGCTGTGTGAGGGCAAGAACAGCGATGTCCCTGCTGTTGTCGTCGATGCTAGCATCCACAAAGGGCAGGTAGCTGCTGTGGTAAACGATGGTGTTCACCTCCGCCACGTTAGCGTTAACTGGTTTGCTGTAGATCGAGCCCAGCAGCACACGCCAGCGATTAACGGTGCGATATCGCCTGGGATGGAATACAAATAAATATTAATTAAATATTTGTGCTTAAAGATCAAATGTGATTACTGCATGAGTCCAGGCTTGTGTACTCACTCTCTGAAGCAGTGAGCTGCAGAGACGATCCAGCGGTTGGAGATGATGGCGCCTCCACACTGATGGACTCCATCGTACTCCAGTCTGACCTGCCAAGGCCAGCCGCCCTGCCTGGCATCCACACCTCCAACTATACGGTCCGCTGCGAAACTACGCCTGCCACAGTCTGCAGAGGACAGAGAAGAGAGGGTTTACTGTGGTCTAAACTGTAGATGAAGAATCAAATATATAAAAAAAGAGGAAAAATATAGTATGCTAGAATGAGAGTAGGTGAACAAAATATCAGAGCAATGATCCTGACAAAAGCTGAGAGACTGAAACAGACAGATAATAAGAAGAATGAACCGCATGGAGTATCGAGTGAAGCATGGATGATGCATTTTTGTAGTCCGATTCCTCAACAAAAAGCAATAGGATTTTCCTATATGATTTTGGAATATTGCTGAAATAAGCTCTGTGGCAAACAAACCTTTATGACACTTACATGCTCTGTTCAGCAGGACAATCTCCACATATTAACATTTCTTTTATGATTTTCGGAGCATAAATGCAATCACCAGATGCACCACAACATGTATATCTCTTAACCACATATCTTATTTTAGGCAACTAACCACTAACACATTCAAAGACATTTATTTAAAGGTGGGGTAGGTAATTTTGGAGAAACCAGCTCGAGTGCGCTAGAATTTGAAAATACACAGCCGGAAGAAATCTGCCACTTCCTTACAGAGCCCCTCCTCCAACACACACGAATGTGCACATGACCAATGAGGGCACGAGATAAGTTTGTGCACAGATGGAAGGCTGACAGGCAGGTAGGCCATCCAATCATTTTAGCGCTAAAATGATTGGTCGTGCTTTTTACAGTAGGCTACTACGGCTTCCACAGATGACATTTTTTTATGGATTTTTTGTCAAAGCACTTAAGATATTCATTGCTATCGGGATGTTAAGAGCATTCCATGGAATATAACGAAAAGTGTATCTCGAGCCGGTTTCTCAAACTTACCTACCCCACCTTTAAGGAAACTGGAAGTGGTAAAATGCTACCACTTTTCTATATTTTAGGACTCATTCACTCTATAGGAGTATGACAATGTGACAATGTGGTGAAAGATGAGCGGGTGAGTGCAGATCTAAGCTCTGAACTTACCTTGACACAGAAGTGTGAGAACCTCCCTGCTTTCACAGTCACTGAAACAAAGACAGACACAGTGAGTAAGAGCCAGACAGAAAAAAGGGAACTGAAAAATCAGTCAGCTTCCCCTATGTCAACCAAGTAGTGGAGTGAGAGAGAAGGAAGCAGGAGCAACAGAGAGGGGAGTGTGGTAGAAGGTGAGACAGGTGCAGGGTCAAATAGACAGGTGTCTGTTACCATGGGAACAATGAATCTTCGATTTTCTTGCCGTAGCTGAGCTCTTGCTCTCGGACACAGAAGAACTCCCCGCCGTCTCCGCTGGCCTCCGGCACCGATGTGACCGAGTAATTCACCATACTGAGACAAACACACACACACACACACACAACACACACACACACACACACACACACACACATCAGTCATGTTTACATTATACCGCATTAAAACACTATTTGTGATAACATTGTAAAGATATCTCACCTGACAAAGCCCACTTCTTCACAGCTGATGCTAGCTAGCAGCTCATTAGCTGAGGAGGAACACACCTGTCGCCACCTCTTGTGGGCGGGGTCAAAGACTCTGAGACGTTGGTCAAGAGAAGTCACCTGGACTGTAGGGAACAAGACAGGGTTATTAAAAAACAAGCTTTAAACAATAGCGCACACTCCTGCTAACCCAACATATATTTATTATTTATTTTCTTCCTGTGATGATCATTTCTGCAATTGTTATAACCCCCAAGATGCCCCTTTAATTCAACATTTGCCATTTCAAAGAACATAAACATCACCTTTCTTACTCGTTTGTCCATTTAACCTCAGTGTTGAACCTGTTGTTACTGGCAGTGAAGCTACTTCAGTTTCATCTACTGTAAAACCTCTTTTATAAACACATTTATAATACACATGCAGCTAAGCTTGAATCTGCATCAACATTCATAAACGTATGAAATCATCAAATATATTTGTGTCTTCACTCAAGCAACAACATTGTTACCTTGTCCAGGCGTAAATATGTTATTTGTTTCTTAATATTACATCCCTGCATTAGAAAAAATGACTACAGGTGAAATGTGGTCTTTATCATAGCTGTACCTATAATAAAGTATAAGAATAATAATAAAAAATCCATGAATTTAAAACAATCTCCCACCTACTCACCATCATACAGCCCGGAGTCTTCCTCCATTGTACAATACGAAACTACAGAACGGTGATAAAAAACAGCAGCCATTTTTTAAGTCAACGTGATTGAAAGTAAGAAGAAGACAAAATAATGTTCCTGAGACTTTTGATTGTAAGAACTTTAAATGAAAGAGTAACAGATGATTGGCATCAGCATGCAGTCTGACCTACGGCCCAGACGGCGGCTCCGACTGCTCCCAAGGTCATCAGGGTCATACACGCCCCAATGACACGGCAGGGCGTCAACACACAGGTCAGAGAGAGTCCCCTGTTCGCTGCAAACACACACACAACACATACATGAGTGTACATACACTCATTTGACAGTATGAACACAGAGACACAAACATGAATGCAGACATGCCATAGCACTTAGACAGCAGCAGTGACAGTTAGCTGAAGACTTTGGGAATTAAATAAAAATAATAAAAATAACAGTGACCTAATTTGATAGATACAGATTTGTTGGACAATCTAATACATTGCATGAGTTGTTTGTATTTCATTTGGAATACTTTTTGGGCCAACAAACATCAGGATTTCAGCTCACTGTTCCAATGTAACAGTACTGCACATTTCCTGGGCCAGACTGAAAAATACAAACAGCAGATTAGATCAATAGTCTAAAGTCTAGCATTTCTCCACTGACTGAGAACAAACTTGTAACTAGGATATGGTGGCATGTCAGTTCAGCGTGCGCGTACAGTGTGTGTGTGTGCGCCTGCGTGTGTGGGGGTTGTTCTGTCCCGCTCTACCCCTGTTATCCCCCTCGCTGCTGCTCTGTAGGAAGTTTTTCAACTTGACCCAAAGATTTTTTAATGCAGACAAATAATCAAAGGAAGAGCAAACACGTGTTATTTTTTAACATTAATAAACGATTTCCGTTGGACTAGCTGCAGGGTCATGGGACGGTGCATGCTGACTCACTGTTATGACTTACTTGGACACTTATGATGGTACACCGCCATAACTAATCTCATTATAGCTCCACCTGTTCTAAACCAGCTGATGGAGTAGACGGTCCACTAAATATCATTCTTCTGTCTTTCTTTTCCTTTTTTCCTCCTCCTTTCCTGACTTTAACTAATGTGCAGGAAAGGAGAAAAGATTGAGAAAATGGTATTGAACATCCTGTCAGTCTGCCAAGCACATCCCTTATACAGACGTTACTCCCTCTCGTTGCGGATGAAAAAATACAGCGGAAGCTTGACGGCGCAAGGCGAAACGACGCCTGAGGCCTGTACTACGAAGCCGGATTTTCGCTTAGCAGGCTAACTTCAGGGAAAACTCTGGGTTTCCGGTCCTACAACGTATCTTTTGAGCGGGCTAGATCTCCCTATCTGCTAGAACCAGTAGAGATTCATAAATTAAACCAGAGACACAGTAAAAAGATGACACAAACAGTTAGATAAAAACAGACCGATAAAATGGCGCTAGACATTAGTTGAAAAAGGGGGTGTATGCTAAAAACTGAAGAGGATAGGATTGTTTAAATAAAAAGTAATATTTAGCTATTTTCAGTTGTATCCTTCTTATATTTTGTGAAAGAATACGTGCCTTTACACCAGATACAGTATGAAGATGATTTATGATGTGAAAGGAGGGAGTTAGACATTTTCCATAACTAGCTAATTGCTGCTATTTTACGAAGTGACATTAAAGGTTTAAGCTAGAAGTTATGCACAATGGAAAACTTCATATTTGTGATGAATATATATTGTTCCTACTATTTGTATTTTCTACTTTTTATATGAGTTATGTACAATGCAATGTTCAGATGAAGAACTCATTGATTTCAGTATTATAAGGAGGGATTGTAAGAAATTAAAATCAATGTTGATATGGCGTAATTTATGAAAAAAACGGAAGTTTACATTAACTATTAACTTAACACTTTTATTCTGAAAATTCTTCATTTCCGGTTAGCATTAGCATGTGTTTAACGTTTTGAAACCGTGAATTGAAGGTGAAATGACATGTGATGTTGTACCCTAAACACACTGGGATTAACACTCATTTAGTGACGCTGAAATAACGTTTATTAGGGAATGTTTAAATAACCACAGACATCAGAATTATGTAATTTAGCAACAGAAAAAGGCAGGAATTACATTGGACCCGCCCCCGTCGACGCCGGCCAATAAGAGAAGACTACAGTGGACTACCCGTGAGCCACAGGAATCGATCGGCCTCTTTTTCCTGACCTCGGCTGACCGAACGCATGGGGAGAGCGCCTCCAGCTTGCAATTTCATTGTACATCACCGCATTATTTGTGTAATTAAATGCTGTTAACTTTTATAAGCTTCCCTTGACTCTTTTCAGTCTGTCCTGCTCTCAGGGTTCAAGAATTACTAACAGCGGCTAACCTGCTCCGGAGCAGGTTAGGTTGCAGGCTAAGAGATCAACTCAGTGAAAACACTGTCTGCTGACCAATCAGAGCTCAGTGTGCGGAGTTTAAAGCGATCAAGTCATATTACAGGAGAAAGGAAATAAAGTTTAAACTGCTGTTGCAGGAAAGACGGCCGGCAAAAATCAGACTGTGAACATTAATAGAATATCACCTCCCATCAGAGCAATCTGACTATTATAAAATTAGCGTTAAGAAAGCTTAATTAAATATCTGCCACAACATAAGTAACCGGAACAAAGTAACATTACGTAGCCTACAGTCCGCAGCACTGTGAGTGCAGACGTCGATGTGTCCCATTATCATTCATATCACATCATAATGTATCATATATTTCCTTATCTGAGTCAGCTTCTTAAGCCGTATCTGGCCGTGCAACACTTACAGTGTCACATACTGTATGCATTACATTGCATTTAGCTGACGCTTTTATCCAAAGCGACTTACAATAAGTGCATTCGACCAACAAGATACAAACTTGAAGAAAACAGAATCATATAAGTACATCAGGTTTCATAGAGCTAAAACATTTCAAGTGCTACTCAACTGGCTTGAGATTAGCCAGTTGTGCTTTGTTAATGTTACGTGCCAGGCAGGCTGTACTTGTGTGGTTTTCCTTCCCTCCTGTGTTTCTCTCTTCTCCCTGTCTTCTGCACAGCTAATCAGCAGCTGATCGGTATCTGCCTGTGCACCTGAGTCTGATGGCTGATTGGATCCTCTCACCCTCAGCTGGCCTATCAGCAGCCAGGGCCGACCATAAAGGAGGCACCCAGGAAGTCTTCTTGCTCTCTCACTCTGGGCCTGTTGCTGATGAAGGAGCCTGCAGTGTTTAGCAACTCATTCTCTTTGTATTATCTGACCTTTTTGAAAGTGTGTGTGTTGAGAGGTGTGAGGGTTTTTTTGTTTGAGTTTTGGTTTCGAAGGGTAGATGTAGAGATAGGCCTGGTTTTGTTATGTACGGTGGCCCTGAAGTGCAAGACAACACAGCATTTCAGAAAACACAACAGCATTTCAGAAAACACCACAGCATTTCAGAAAACACCACAGCATTTCACATTGGACGGAAAGGGTATTCCTTTAGGGAGAACACTTCTTGTTTGTGATTGGACAGAGCCAGCAAGAGAAGCACTGCTGTGATTGGTTGTTTTTGCTGCCAGTCAAGAAATGAAGCTTCGTGATTGGTCAACACCCGACAGCAAATTATGTCCCAACACATCAGCCGTTAGCACACACTCAGAGCTCACAGCTCCTCATATCTGTTCAGAAACTGGACAAAAGTTAAACATGTACAAACCACAGACTGTCTGTGTCATGGCGAATACAGTCGCTGCTTTATTTATGTCTGTATGACGTTGTGAGTGTGGACGGAGCAGCTTCAGGTTAGTTTAGCCTGATGGATCCGATTCCATTCAGAAAACACGCATTTTAAAAGCTTTTCACCTGCCGTCTTATCTGCAGACTTGTCAAAGCGTTAATTCATGGTTTTTACTAACCGTTATCAGTATGTAGTTATTTCGGCATCACTTTGAAACGTGTATTACAATTAAATCACGGTCAAATATGTTCATTTTGTTGTAGTTGGTATCTCCCATAGGATTTACTTGGAGATACGCCCGCCCCCTCTCAGCGCCTCTTGTTTGAATGACAGGAGCAAACACAGCTGACAGCCGCGGTGAAACTCGAGCGATTAGAGCGATGCGAATATTGGGTGGTCTACCATAGTATTTATATGGAGATAAGCCCCTTAAAAACCATGAATTAATAAAGCATTAATTCTGTGTTTACTCCTGTCATTCAAACAAGACGCTGGAGAGGGGGCGGGGCGTATCTCCATGTAAATCCTATCGGAATCGGATCGATCAGGCTAAACTAACCTGTAGCAGCTCCGTCCACACTCACAACGTCATACAGACATAAATAAAGCAGCGACTGTATTCACCATGACATAGACAGTCTGTGTTTTGTAAATGCTGTGGTGTTTTCTGAAATGCTGTTGCGTTTTGTGAAATGCTGTTGTGTTTTGTGAAATGCTGTGGCGTTTTGTGTAATGCTGTGGTGTCTTGCACTTCAGGGCCACCGTAGTTATGCTTGTTTATTTTGTTTGGCACAATCCTTTGACTCCTCCTCCTCACCAACAGAGTGTTTCAATTATATGTCCGTTCGGTTCGGGGTTTACACAAAATAAACCTTTTGTCAACTGTTACGCTGACTCCCTCTTTTTTATTGGTTGTATGTTATTGTCTCCAGGTCCCCTAGGCCTTAGTGGGGACGTAACAAATGGGGGATCGTCCGGGATCTCTATTTTTCTGAGCTAAAAACAACCAATAATTGAGAAGTCATTGTAGGTGTTGTACATTGGCTGTGAAAAATGGGTTTTGATTTACAGGACTTTATTGAAAGTCCAAGTGTTAATAAGTTGTATTCCTGTCGCAAAGATGACATGTTATGTATTGCAGCTCACTTTAAAATTTCAGTAGACAAATATAAAGTAAAAAAAGAGATGAGAGAGAAAATCCTGCAAAAACTAGAAGAGTTTAAGATTCTTGTAATCCCAAGCATGTCAACTCAGCCTAGGGCTGAAGTGTCTATTGAAGATGATAGGGAAAGTGTATTAGCTACACCTAGAGTTGACAAGTTTAGTCCTGAAGCTCCTCCTGCAATGCTTCCTAGGTTTGAGGCTTTCTCTCCGGGTAGCTTTGGTGCAAGTAGTAATGCCAAACTAAAAGTTCGTCTTGCCCATCTTCAGCTGGAGGTCCAGGAGAAGGAAATGGTGCATAGAGCGGACTATGAACACAGGCTGCAGATTCGCAAGTTAGAGATAGAAGCTGAGAAAGAAATCACGTTAAAGCGGCTTGAAGTTGATGCCC